GTGTATTGTGTATTGTGTATCACTATATTTAGTTTAGGAAATAATTATTTTTAAAATATTTATTTATTGTATATATAATAGTACACTGAAATTGTCTTCAGACACACCAGAAGAGGGCATCAGATCCCATTACAGATGATTGTGAGCCACCATGTGGTTGCTGGGAATTTAACTCAGGACCTCTGGAAGAGCACTCAGTGTGCTTAACTGCTGAGGCATCTCTCCAGCCCAGGAAATTACTTTTTAAAAGAATCTTTTAAAATTATTTTTAATTGCTGGGCAGTGGTGGTGCACGCCTTTAATCCCAGCACTTGGGAGGCAGAGGCAGAGGCAGGTGGTTTTCTGAGTTCTAGGTCAGCCTGGTCTACAGAGTGAGTTCCAGGACAGCCAGGGCTACACAGAGAAACCCTGTCTCGAAAAACCAAAAAAAAAATAATAAATAAATAAAAAATAAAAAAATATATTTAATTCATATATTTAATTAATTAATTTCTCTCTGTGTGTGAATGCAGGCGCCTGTAGAGGCCAGAGGTATTGGATAGCTTGGTGCTGGAGTCCCAGGTGGTTGTGAGCTGTCTGTGAGTGTTTGGAACTAAACTCAGCCTCTCTGGACGAGCAGGAAGTTCTCTTAACTCTTGAGCCATCTCTTTAAGGCATGTGTGTGTCTGTGTACACAAGTGAATCTCTTTGGAAGTCAGAGAACAGCTTTTGGGAATTAATTCTAACTTTATTCAAATTTTCGGATTGAAATCAGGTGGCAGGTGGCAAGTGCCTTTACTCACTGAACCATCAGCCCTAGGATATGATTTTTCAGCGAAGGTCAGACACAGAAAGATAAAGTTTCGCGTTTTAGCTACAGTGAACATACAGCTGACATACATCTGCCAGAGTTGAATCTCTATCCTCTATGTGGAACCAGGGATTTCGAATTCAGATTGACAGGCTTGGTAGCAAATTTCCTCTTCTCTACTAAGCTAGGCCAAGACCTTCATCTTACAGCAGTACGTATAAGGCGGCTGATGATATGTTAGCTTTCTTGCTCTTTAAATTGGCTCAGCCTAAATGTAATTGTGGGGAAGGGCCAGGGAAGCTGGCATCTTGCTATGCTTTCCTTAGGATCTTGAAGATTTGCTTCTCATGGCTAACTATAGCTAGGTCCAGTGGCACATGTCTTTAGTTGATTTTGAGGTCAGTAGGGTGCATAGTGTCTCAGCAGCAACAAGGAAAAGTCCCAAGTTGGTCTTCGTCTACAGAAATAGTTCAGATAATTAGAGAAGAGAAACTGATCTTTTTAAAAATATTTTTATGTGTTTGAGTGTTTTGTTTGCACATATGTCTGTGCTCTGTGTACCTGATACCTATGGAAACCAAACCGCATTGGATACCCTGGGAACTGAGTTATAGATACTGATGAATCCCCGCATGGGTGCTGGGAACTGAACCCAGGTCCCCAGAAAGAATAGTCAGTGTTCTTAATCACTGAGCCCTCTCTAGCCCCTGAGTTGTATAAATATGATGAGCCTCTGTCGAGAGCTGGTTTGGCTGAATTCTGAAGGTCACAAAAAGAGTAGATGGCTGCCAGGCAGGTCAAATGAATGGAAGTGTTTGTTAAAGCCAAGTGTGATCCACATCTGTCACCCTCAGGAGTCTGAGGCAGAAGGATGACAGGTTTGATAATGTGCTGTTAGAATAGTGGTGGGCCAGGCATTGGTAATCTTGCACAAATGGAATGAAGTAGCAAGAACAGACGATTCTAGAAAGAGAAAAGAGAAGCTTAGGATAACAGAATACCAAGTGTGAAATAATCTTACATGTAACCCTAGAAGCTCATACATGGTCAGAAGTCAGAGAGCAAGATGGTTCAGTGGTCAAGGCACTTGTCATCAAGTCTGACAATTCCCCAAATCTACAAGGTAGAAAGAACGGACATCTGCAAGTTGTCTGCTGACCTCCACATGTGTACTTTGGCACCCAACACCCTCCTCCCCATGGCCTCCCCACACTAAGTTTAAGTGGGTAGAAATAAAGAGCTAAAGGCCTGGTGACTCAAGCCTGTAATCCCTGACAGGAATTAAGGCAAGCAGGTCAGACATCCAAGGCCTGGGTGACCAGAGTGAGTTCAAGACTGGTCTGAAAAATTTAGTGAGACCCTGTTCCAAAATCAAGTCAGAGGATTTGAGGGGTTCGGGAGTGCTGAGATGTCATGGTGGAGTGGGTAAAGGTGACACCATCATTGACACCTGATTGTGATTCCTGGACCTAATGGTGGAAAGAGAACTGACTCCCGAACGTCCTGATCTCCATGTAAGCCTCAAATCCATCATGCGCACCCACACAATAAGTGTGATTTTTAAAAACTGGGGATTACAGGGCTGGAGAGTTGGCTCAGCAGTTAAGTGCACTTGTTGCTCTTATAGAGGGCCTGGATTTGGTTCCCAGCACCCACATGGTGGCTCACAGCCATCCATAACTCCAGTTCCAGGGTGCCTGGCACCTTCTAAACTCAGGAACAATCATCACAGGGGTATTGGTGGGTTTTCCTTGAGAACAATAAAAATCCAAGTGCTGGGGAGATATGTGGCAGGAGGAAATGGAGCCTGGTGCCAGAGCTAGGGCATTTAGTCTGTAGAGTACGTCATACCTAAGAACAGTAAACTAGAACAGCTCAGACCGTGTGTTTCGATAGTGAGGGAATTCTGTATGATGAAGAAGCGATGCTGCAGGAACAGGAGTGAGAAGCTGGGACCTTGTGTCCTTTGTAAAAGTCTGGTGGAGTAGGGAAAAGTGCCCTTGTAGAAGGTTTAGTCTATGTTCCTCCCACATCCCAAGCCCCACCTATATACATGTGATGATGTATTCCAGGATAGGAAATGTTGCCTTAAACCTTTCTAGCACTGTATGACTACTCAGTCCTTAGGTTGGAGTCTGGCTCAGTGGGCAGAACCCTCAGTATGCAAGTTCAGATCCCCAGCAGCCACATAAAAGCTGCACAGGTGTGTCGAGCCTATCTCTAGCACTCAACAGTGTGTGTGGCTGCCATGCACTCTGTAAACATGCATAGGTGAACAGACCACACAACCCACCCCAAATCGAAAGCTCTTAACTGATTCAAGCAATAGGGAAACAGCCTGCACCTATGCAGTGGACTAGAGTTCTCCTTAAGCTACAGAGTTCTAAGAAGCAATCAGCTGTCTTCTGTTTTTCCATTACAATTTGCCCTTGGCACAGGATGTCAACTTATTCTGGATATTTTGGTTAAATGATTATGGTCAAGAGGGTGAACTGGCAAACAGTTGATTATCAAGATGTAACAAAAACAAGCTTGTGGAAGCTGGATATGGTGATTCAAACGTGCAATCTTGACACTTGGGGGCTGAAGCAGGAGGACTGTGGCCAGGCACTCGCGCTCACTCTCTCTTCCCCCCCTCCCCTGAGGGTTCTCTGTATAGCCCTGGCTGTCCTGGAACTCACTCTGTAGACCAGGCTGGCCTCGAACTCAGCAATCTGCCTGCCTCTGCCTCCCAAGTGCTGGGATTAAAGGCGTGCGCCACCACTACCCGGCAAGTTTGCTTCTCTTTGTTAAAAAAAAAAAAAAAAAGCCAAAAATGTATGTGTTTGCCTACATGTGTGTCTGTGTCCCATGTCTGTGCCTGGTGAAGCCAGATGAGGGCTCTCCTAGCACTGGAGTTACAGTTGTGAACCGCCAGCTAGGGGCTAGGAATCCACCGGGTCCTCCACAAGCACAGCAGTGAGTGTTCTTAGCTGCTGAACCATCTCCCCAACAACCCATGTCATCATTTTTTTTTAAAAAAAACTAAACCCAGGAATTATGAGAGATTTGTGAAATCTGACCTTGAAGTAACAGCAACAAAAAGCGATGTTCAACAGGGCGAGCCGGAACTATGAGTCTGATACCAGGATTTACTCTTCTGTGTGCTTTCTTGGTGACCCCACGTCCTCTAACCAATAGTTCCATCCCAAGAATTACATATGATTTATTTGAGTACACTTTAAAGCATACAAATCTTTTAATTACACTTAGAGGTCTCTATGGGTAGGTTTAATATATATTTTTTTAATGAATAGAAGACATTTTGATTATATCTTTGGAAACATCTGTAGAGTTCAAAAACAGCTTTCAATCACATGGCTGCCAGTAGGGGCCTCTGAAAAAGTGCTTTACTCTGCAGAATTATAAGCCAGAGAGTACAGTGGCATTACACTGTGTCAAAGCATCGGGCTCATCCAGCAATGCACTTGGCTTCTTACATTAACAACCTCCACTCTGACCCACATTGAGAACCAGTCCCTGTGTTGCTAATGTACCTCAAACTAAGTCATTTGTGTGCTAGTTATTTTGCACTGCTGGGACTGGAGTTGGTCTCAGCCAATCACCCTTATCCCATCTCTCTCTCCTCTTGCCTACAAAGGTGCATTTGCTCCCTCTTCCGACTCTGTTTGGGTAGGAAAGATGCTAGTAAGGGGAGCATATTCTTTGTCATTGCACATTTTGAGCTGACCTTCCTCTTTGAGATGTGTGAAAATAAACTCTTGGACAGAAGACCCTAAGATACGTGTTTGTTATCAGGTAGGACCAGTTTTGGTAGAAGGTAGTCCCAATCAATCTAAGCAGGAATTGGACCTACTAGAAACTTCTGTTCCCATCCTAAACAAACAAATCTTACATTCTCCAGGGCTTCTGAGGGTAAGGCCTGGTAGACACGTGACTTACCAAACGTGATTTCTGTGCCTAAACACTACATGAAACTAACAATTCATCTTGGACCCATATGTGACTTCATCAACAGCAGAAATTAAATCATTTTTTTTTTTTTGGGTGATCAAAGACTCAAATCCTTTCTTCAAGGTTTGTGGAATCAGATCTTTGGTTTCTATCCAACCGTTAGATCTTCCAACCAATGAGAACCACGAAAACCATCAGAAATACTTAGTTCTTCTTCACTCTGACCTTTAAAAATAAAGATCTCAACACCCAAGTATCTCACTGATATATTTTATTGGATTTGCAATTCTGCTTAATTAGAATATTTATTAGTAGGTCATTTGAATACTGTCAACAGTCCTAGTGAAGGTGCTAGCTGCTCCTTTCTGCCTTTGCTTGGTGTCTAATGGTGGTTCTCACCCTGCTCCGGTTGTTTCAGGCTGCTTGATTTGTCCCCTTTCTCTTTGTTAGACCACAGTGTGGGAGTGTTAAGGTACACAGTGCCCTGTTTACCAAGCTTTGGGCAAGTGAGGATGCTGATATATTCATTTTTAGTGTCTCCAGAATCCAGAAATTGAACTTGGGCAATATTTTGAATTTTAAGGCTTGGATTAAGCTAGTATTTTATAGCAAGGTCTTGGTCTTGATTAGGTCTTTTTATATTCCAAGAGTAGAGAATAAAAACCAAATGTTCTTTCTCCAGTCCATTTTGGCAAAAAGGAAAAAAAATAGTCTGGAATGACTATTTTGTAAATAAATATGGATTATTATCTTAAAGACAATGTGCCAAAAAAGTGTACGTGTACACATTTCATTTGAACTTTAGTCTTTGAAGTGAGCTACTCGTTTTGTGGAATGGCGGTTGCTCTGGAGACAGCTCTACGGCTCTTTTTGGCACATCAGCAGGTCCTGACAACAGTGGTACTTCTCCCTGACCCTGGATGGAAGCAAGCAGAGTGATTCTCACTTGACCATTCTTAGGGGAGGATATGAGAACCCCAAGTGGTGCCCAAGGGGTGACCCCTGCATTTTGAGGAACAATGTCTTTTCATGAAATGGCATTTTCTGAGTGCCAGGCTCACCCAGCCGACAAAGTTTACAACCATGTTTGTGACAGTTGACAGAGTACCACACTGGAGAGGCAGGGCACTGAGATGGTGAAGAGTCCAAGCTCTTCAGGAACCAATTGGGTGAAAAAACCAAAGTAAGGAATATTTCCAAACAAGTGACAGCGGGTCATGGTCACACCCACATGTCTGCTCTCCTGCAGATGATGTCATAAACAAATGGTATCTAAGGGAACATGGCAGTCATTTTGAAATCAGCCCTCAGAATTTAAGTCACCTGTCAGTGTGTAAATCATCGCTTCTCTATCTTGCTGCCAATAAAAATACATCCTAGAAGTATTAGGAAACAGAACAATCATTAAGTAGTCTCCGTGTTTCCTTTGGTACTTGGCTCTTTCCCTTTCACATTCTAACTGGTGCAAGTCTTTATCAAAGCATACAAGTCCACTGAGCCTGGCGCCAAGCTTGCCACCATATTTCTTGATAAGGCAGGAATGCACTTTTCAGATCTCCAGAACATGGCCACTTTCATCTCTCGACACCATATTTCTTCACCTTTCGTGACTAGGGAGAAATGCTGTATCCTAAGACTTCTTGTTGGTTGACATCTCAGTTTTTGTTGGTTCAGTGCTTTCCTCGCCTAATGAGAAAGCAAAGACTGAAGGCCTATTAACTGTTCCCCTTGCTCCTCATGTGGGGTCACTCTCATTAGTTGACTTTAGGTATCCTTGCCCCAGGTAGTGGCTTAAAAACAAAAAACAAAACAAACAAACAAACAAACAAACAAAACCAAGGGCAAGATTTCAAATCCTTAAGGTTTATCAGGGAAGGAAAAGAGACCATGAGATCTGCAATAGAGTGTCAGCGTCTACATTCCCACTGGAGATGACTTCGGCTTAGCCCCTCACCCAGTCCAGTCCTGGCTTTGTGGGGTCAGCCCAGAGATACTGTTAGTCTTTAGAGAAACTTGTGCAATGACTGAGCTTCTGGACACAGTTCAGCCATGCTGGAATCTGAGAAGTGCCCCATTAAGCCTTTGTGGGAGAAGCACCAGAAGCTTTCCAGTAGGTGTAAAGGACATCAGACTGGTTTATTGCATCTGCTTGTGTCCAAACAAGAGTCAGCACGAGTTTGAGCACCTGAGTTGATGGTAGATATGGGGAATGAAGACAGAGGTGTCTCAAATCTGCCCTTGAGCAACGGTGAAGGAAAGAGGAAGGGAGGGAGCCACTGGCTAAAGGCAGTGTATTTCTGAGGACAGTGACAGACTCTTCCTCGCCCCTTTCCCCACCCTGCTGGGCCCAAGCTAGTGCTGGAGAGCTAGAGCGTTCCTTCTCCTAATGCCTCACCAACTGAAACACATCAGGTCTGTAATGAAGTTGTGCCTTCCTGTATGACATGTGGCACTTGGATTCTGGTACTATAAAGAAAGCAGACACACCATCCCTGCATACCTGTATGTCTCATAGCCCTCAGCTTAGTACTCAGTCTGCCTAGCTACTTGTTAATCAGAGTTCAGCACGGTGGCAGGTGGAGTCACAATAAAGCCAACACCAAGAAGCATTTGTAGGTGGGACCAGTCTGGGGCTTGGCTCTTGAGTACAGATTCTGACTTTCTATGCTGATTCATGGATCACCTTGGACAGGTCTGCAGCAATCCCAGGGAAAGAGCACAAGGAAGTTCCCCCACCTGGAGATCTTACGTGCATGTTAGTTTGCATTTTCAGATCTGCTTCTATTTGAGAGGGAGTAAATACACTTTTACAAAGCTTATTAAAAACTGTTCCAAAAGAACACATGCTTTAAAGAGCATTTAAAAAAGCACAAAGAAGCCTTCAATCAAAACAGGAAGATTTTTCTGACTCAGGCAAAAAATTTTTTTTCTTTCTTTCAAGGGATACTATCACAGGCAGCTCTCGACAGTAAAGGATAAGGGTAGTGGAGGAGTAATCTGACTCGCAGATGAACCCCATTCTCCACCAGAGGTGAGCATCCCATCCTCTTCCCTTGCCTAACCCTTCCCCACTTGCTCATGTGGACGTTCTTAAACCTCACTCTTCAGTCCTTGTCTTAATTGCTCTTCTAGCAAATAGACTCATGTGTGGTCAAAGACAAAGGAGAGGTGGGGAGAGAGGGAGAGAGAGGAGGTGGTCAGAGGCAAATATAAGCCCTAATTTCGATAGCTTGTGCCTGGAGAATGGCCAGTTGATCCTGTAAGGACCAGATGAGCCTGCCACGTTTACAGAGAAGAGCAGCAGGTCAACTGATTTCATTCTATCTGTCTCCTGCTTCTTCCGTCCAGAATCACAGATCTCCGCTGGGGCTGGTAAAAACAGCTTGTTGAAGTCTCTAGTCTTTGGCCATTCTTAGGGATGGTCATTTTATTCCTAAGCGTAACCCCTTCTGGTGTGACCCATGTGTTTTCGGCCAACTCTCCACAGAGAAGGCCAGGGGAAACTGTCTGAGTAGGGCTTCTGATAGGGGACAGTAAGACCTTGGAATCTATCACTGTGGGTGAGGAAGGTAGGTGGTCCATGATGGGGAATAAGATTAGGCTCTGAGGTCTTCCTGGCCTCGACCTGTGGAAAGGTTTAGGACCCCCAGATGCTCGCTCCAGTTTTGAAGAAAGAAGGTTGTCTCCTGATGGCTCTGTCTCTGATGTGCGTTTTCTGCATTGCACCATTGCATCCTGTGTGGAGACCACAGTGGATGCACCTGGTTCCGGAGAGCAGAAGGACCCCTCATACATGCAGGATGTAGTGCTGGCTGTATTCTGGGATGCAGAGGCTCCTGTCTCTTGCTTTGGTTGCTCTTCCTCTGGGCTTCCCAGGGAAGAGAGAGAATCATCTTTGGTGGGTTTCTGAGGGATCTCAGGGGTTGAACAAGGTTCTTCCTGGCTCCTCTCCAGAGGCTGAGACCCTCCTTCCCCTGTGCTCTGAGAGGGCAGGGGCTGTGGGATCTGTGTGTATTGAATCTTGGGTGGGATGACAGGAACGGCCTTGGCCTGACACATTTTTACCATAAAGGAGGTTCTCACAGCTGACACGCTCACAGGAGCTGAATTCCGACGGCCTGTAAGGGCATGGGCAACAATGTCCAGGTCCTGAGCGTCCTGGGAGTTCCAGGGGGTTGCTTTACAGTGAGAGGAGCTCATCCAGGTGACCTTGGTGTCCCCTAGTTCAGAGAGCTCTATTCCAGGTGAACTAATGGAAGCCCCATTCTCAAGTCGGAAAAGGTCAGTGATGGGAGTGGCAGAGTCCAGGTTGAGGGAAGAAGGCCTGTGTTTCCCTTTTGAGGGCCCACACTCAGTGCTCTTTGGCTGTAGCTTTAGGGAGTGTTCCCCAGGTGAGGTGCTTTCTTGAGCCCTAGAACTCTCCTTGCTGCTATCTGGCCCGGGAACATCATTGTCTTTAATCTGAGGGTTGCTAAATTCTAGTTGTGGTCTCTGCTCCTTTCCCTCTGCTAAACTGATGAAGTTGGTTTCTACTGGTTTGGGTTGTATACCAGATGGTGCCTTCTGGCTGGGAAGAACCTCTAACCCTTTTAGGCCAGAGAACTCTCTGAAGGCTTTTAGGGCTCTCTCTTCCAATCCGGCACTCTTGATCCTGGCTGCTGGGGGCTGCAGAGGCTCATAGTTCCTCTCTGTTTCAAGATTGGCACAGCTGCTGGAGAAGGGAGCCTCAAGAGTCCAGTGGCTCATTCCAGTGGTTTTGCTATCTAGAGAATGGCTCTGGCGAAGGCTGGGCCTGTGGCGAAGTCTCCTCTCTAATCGGTGGCCCTGGGAGCCTTGCATCTGGGACTCCTGAACTTCTTTCAGGGTGGGAGAATGAAGGGGACTGGTCACCCACTGGGGCTCCTCCCAGGGTTCTACCATCTCCAGGCCATGCTGGGCAGTGTCTGTCACAGTGTCATCTTCGTCACAGTCTGAAGGCTCTTGTGCTGAATGGGGAGCATCTCCCTCTTCTTGTGGGATGACTTCAACCTCCTTTGTTGGGCTTGGAAGACCAGGGCCTTTGTTCTCGGGAACAGCATGCTTTGCATTTTGCAGCTCATTTGGGCTTGCAGTAGCTTCCTCTCTCTGACAGAGTCGAGGGATGCCAGGGCCGTCTTTGGGGTTTGGCGGCTCTGTGTAGAGATCTGTCCTGGAATCTCTAGATGCATCTTCTCTGTCAGGACATTCCTTTGACAGCAAGACTTGAGGCTCCTCCTCCCGAGGAGTTGGAGGAGGTGGAGAAGGAGGGAGTGGGGGAGAGAGATTTCTTGGGCCTCCTATCTCTATCCTAGCTGAAGAAGACACCTTTTCAAACAAAAGTATTTCCAGGGGTGCTAGACTGGCCGGGTCTGGGCTGCACTCCTGCTCAGACTCTGATTCAAGGAGGCTGCAGCCTGGCTCCAGCTTCTCTCTATTGGTGAGGATGGGAGCCTCCTCTTTGCTCTGATTGGCTGAGTCCCTAGTCCACACCTCCAGAGGAGCGGAGCTACTAGGCAAGCTCCCAGGGGCCTCTGGGAAGGAAAATGGGGCTGGACTTGACTCAGTAATCGGGCTTGTCTTCTGAGTAGGGGGTGGCAATGATGAGAACTCCTCCTCTGATTCCACGATTTTCAGTTCCTGTTGAATCTCAGGCCAGATCAAGGCCTGAGCCAGGTCATCTTCATCCTGAAAAACAAGAAGACGTTAGTTATTTTTGAGCCCAGAACTCTGGGTCCTGATGTCTGCCAAGAGTCCAGGGAGCGCGAAGGGAACGGAGCAGTTGACAGTACTCACACCAATAAAGGAGGCAGCCTCAGCAATAACCATGGGTGTCAGAATGCCCAGCATATGCCATGAAATATGTCTTCCTTTTTAACCTTTTCAATGCCTTAGGAGACAATACTGGGCTAACGGCCTGAATCATAGAGCTGTAGATAGGATGGCGATCCAGTCCTGTCCACAGTAGAACAGAATCTGCTTCTGACCCCCCTCCTCAGCCAGTTCTAAGCACATGCTGTTGTATGTTCCAGCAAGTGCTCAGTCACTGAGCTATGTCCCCAGTCTTCCATTCACATGTAATGTGTCCCTTGTCCTTATAGTGACACGGTGTAATTCTCTTGTAAGGACAGGCATCTCAGGGAGTGTCTCTAACTACTGGATGCGTGGAGTCTGGGAGGTCTGATCGGCTGCTGACTCTCATGTCTTCACCTGGCTCTGGTTCTGGAGTGCTGAGGGTTAGATCTAGGGTCTTGTGCGTGAAGGTGCGTGTGCTCCACCTCTAGCCCCCGTTTCTCCTTCCAGCTAGCTCTCTAAGTATTACCTGACCAAGATCAATTGGATTTTACTTCAGTGCATTCTTTGGTGACAGTTCTGTCCACTAGACTTCTCGTCTCCTTACTTCACTCAGCAGTTACATTCCTGATTTCTAATCACTGTTATGCACGGTCCACAGAACCAAAGAAGCAGGGCTCATAGAGGTTTGCAGGGACAGACGTGACAACCACGGAGCCTGAATGGGTCCAAGCTGGGTCCTCTGCACATCTTATGGTTATGTAGCTTGATGCTCTTCTGGGACTCCCAACAGTGGCAGTGGCCATGTCTCTGACTCTTTTTCCCATATTTAAGACCCCTTTCCTTCTACTGGGGTGCCTCGTCCAGCCTTGATATGAGGGATGTGCCTGGTCTTATTGTAACTTGTAATCATATGTTCACTTGATAACTTTGGGAGGCATGCTCTCTCTGTCTTCCTTCCTTCCTTCCTTCCTTCCTTCCTTCCTTCCTTCCTTCCTTTCTCTCTTTCTTTCTTTCTTTTTTTTTTTTTTGTTTTTTTTCGAGACAGGGTTTCTCTGTGTAGCCCTGGCTGTCCTGGAACTCACTCTGTAGACCAGGCTGGCCTCGAACTCAGAAATCCACCTGCCTCTGCCTCCCAAGTGCTGGGATTAAAGGCGTGCACCACCACTGCCCGGCTTTCTTTTTGTTTTTTTGAGGAGAAACAGAGGAATGGATCTAGGGGATAAGGGAGGTTGTCGGGGGAGGGGCTGGGAAGATGGAAGTAGGGGAAACTTTGGTCAAGATGTAATATATGAGAGAATAAAAGGAAGGAAGGAAGGAAGGAAGGAAGGAAGGAAGGAAGGAAGGAAGGAAGGAAAGGAGGGAGGGAGGGAGGGAGGGAGGGAGGAAGTAAGTAAGTAAGTGAGAGAATAGAAAGAAAGGAAGAAGGAAAGAGAGAAAGAAAGAAAGAAAGAAAGAAAGAAAGAAAAGACTATTTAGTTTCCTTATTATTCTATTCTTTCACTTCACCCTGGATACTGACTTTTCCCTGTGAGGCTGGCAGCCCCAAAGGCAGGAACAGTGGCGACAGTCTCCGTACTGCAGTGACCTAGTGTTGAGGATTGCACACTATTTAGCACAAAGTGGGGATTTGGGACATATGTTCAATAAAGGAATGAACTGATGCCTTTACTTGTTCCTTTGAATTCACCCTCGTTCTTCCAGCCCTAACATTATCTTCCTCAAAGCAACGTTGCTAGCTCTGGGCTCTCCTCATCAGAGTCAACCAGCAAAGAATCTCTCTGTCAATGCAAACATGCTCAAACCCTTGCTCAGCCTTCCTGAGGACAACGCTTCACATCAGCTTTGCCCTAACTCCCAGCACACGGTCCTCTTGGCATCTTCTGGAAGCAAATTAAAATGTAGGCTTCTTTATCCCTCAGCACACGTGTCCCAGAAAACCTCCTCACACCTTCTGCGTAAAGATGTCTTGTAAAGCCATCCATGGACAATTCCACCCCTCAAGAGTGGACAAAGTTTGTTAGATTTGAACTTCTCTAAAATCACAGACTAGAGCTGGGAAACCTCTCAGATTCTATAGACGGCCTTGGACAAGCACCAGGCCAGGATGTCTGAGGACAGAGAATGGGGCTCATGAATGGTCATCATACTTGGGACTGCGATATAACCAGCTGGGTTGAATTAACCATTCTGGGTTGAATGTCATTCCATAAAGACATGTTTATGGGCCAGAAATATTTGGAGTTGTGTTTGCCTTAGGAATCTGAGCTGGATGGTTTCTTCCCATTGTGGTGGGACTTCTCAGAGGCCAGCCACAAAGAAACCCCAGGCTGAGAAGTGAGTTTTGTCTTCGTTTTGTTTCTTTTGAGACAAGGTCTCATACATCCCAGATTGTCCTGAATGGCCTTGAAATCATGACCGACAAGTTTCCATCTCCCTAATGATAGGACAGTAGGTGTCTGTCATCATTCCTGGCTAGTAAGTGAGACTACTAAGACTCATTAAAAAATTTTTGATACATAAAAAAGGGGCTAGGAAGGTGGCTCAGTGTGTAGATGTGCTAGCCTTGGAATCCTGTGAGCGCCATCCCTGGAACCCACAGACAAAGTGTGCATGTGGTGGTACATAGCTGTAATCCCAGGGCTCCTGTGGTGAGATAGGAGGTAGCAAGAGGGAACCTGCTTAGAAGCCTGGAGGCTGGTCAGCCTGCAGCACACAGTGCAGCAGAAAACAGGAAAAGAGAATACTGCCTTAACCGATAAGGCAAGAACAGACAACAAAGTTGTCTTTTAACCTCGAATATATATGCTGTGACATTTATACATACTGTGGCACACATGTAGCTGTGATCACACAAAACACAATTAAATTAGAAACAATGAATCTTAATCAGTTCAATAACTTAATTAATAAATTACATTTCTCTTGCAGTAACCCTCTTTTTTTTTTAATTATAAAAATCTTTAAATTGTGCCATTTGTGGCTGGAATGGGCAGAGTCCACCTTACCATCTCATGGAGAAGCATTGGTTCAGTTCCAGTTCTGAGGCTCTCTTGTGGAGTGCTGGGCTTCAGCTGGCTAGCACCCTGGCTCTCTTCCACCACCTTCTCTCCATCTGGCTGCTTCTCTGCTTCCTTTGACAGTTGAGAAGCCAGGGATGTATCCAAGGTTTTCTCCTCCACTTGGGTACCTGGGTCCAGGGAAGGGCTTTGGCTACACTCTGCTCTCCCCGGGGCTTCAGGTTCTGGCTTGGTGTCCTCTGTAGCTGCCTTCTTAGTAACAGAACCTGTGAAGAGAATGTGAGTGGTCAGTACAAAGGGGTCATTCAAGAAGGATTTGCAGGGGCTTGGCAGTTAAGAGCACTGGCTGTTCTTCCAAAGGTCCTGAGTTCAAATCCCAGCAACCACACGGTGGCTCGCAACCATCTGTAATGGGATCTGATGCCCTCTTCTGGTGTGTCTGCATGCTGTCATGATGATAACTGACTAAACCTCTGAAGCTGTAAGCCAGCTCAGTTAAATGTTTCCCTTTAGAAGAGTTGCAGTGGTTGTAGTGTCTCTTCACAGCAATAGAAACCCCAAGACAATTGTGTGTGCTAGGACACCGCTCTGAGATCTTTGCATGCATTAACCAAATGTTGACTCAAATTTAGAAATAAGGCATGGTTATTGACATCAACATTTTATAAATTAAGAAGCTGAGGCGCAGGTTATTAACTCAGTGAAAATCCGCAGCAAAGCAAGGTTTGCAACAGCCATTCTGGCCCTAGACGCCACCATCCCTGCAAATGCTATTTAAGTCAGATCAAACCTCGTGTTATCTCTTGTAATGGAGGGAGACCCTTCTGCCCCTATTTTACCTGGAAAAGGTTCAGCTCCCAGGGGCTTTTCTTCTTCTGGCCATCCTCCACTCTCTGAACCTTGGAAAGAAAACTCTTCGAGGCTGGAGAGAGACTGTAGCTCTTTGGGGGGCGTCCTGCACGGGGTGCTGTTGGTACTGATGACGGCGGATACACGGAGTGGCACAGACACCGCGAAGGGCTCTGAGATGTTGAGCGCCTTTCGCTGGTGGCGGGGTGAGGGTTCCATCTGGAACAGGCTGCTTGTGAAGACGGATTTGCCCGGACTGTCGCTGGAGGTGTAGAACATCCCCAGAAGCTTTGGGGCGGACTGCTCGCTCTCAGGGTCTCCGATGGGGCGGAACACCTTCAGCTGCTCCGGCAGGGGCCGGATCTGACCGCCCACCTCGCAGCCCCCCTCAGCCCCGGCTGGCATCCCCTCCTGACCCCATTCACTCTCCTTGCTGAGGTCACAGGAGCTGCCGGTGCTGCTCGCGTGCATTTTTGTGGCTGGAATAAAAAATCCCCCAGTGGTGACTGTTCGATTGAAATTTCCTTTGTTTTCTTTCCCTGGAGAAGAAGAGCAAGCAGTGGTTAGTGCGTGCAGATTGCGGAGCCGCTTTCCCAGAAACTTGTATCTGGGCCTGATGGTTGTTTAACAAAAAGTAGAAGAGATAACTAGCAATTGTCCACCAAGGCTAGAGCTTCTAGAAGAAATGTAAATCCCTGGTGTTTGGCAACGGATATCAACTCATATGTAACCGATTCCGATAGGGACTACTTAGTGGCTTCCTAACTGATGCTGGTTGGTTTTTGACACAAAGTACAAGCATTTGGGGGAAGAGAACCTCTATTAAGAGAATGCCTCCATCAGATTGCCTAGAGGCAACCCTTGAGGCATATTCTTAGTTCAGTGATTGATGTGGGAGAGACCAGCTCTCTGGGTGGTGCCACTCTGGGCAGGTGGTCTTGGGTTGCATAAGAGAGCAGGCTGAACAAACAAGCTATGAGGAGCAAGTTAGTAAGCAGCATTCCTCCACAGCCTCTGCCTCCAGATTCCTGCCCTGACTTTCCTGATAAACCCTTTCCTCCTCAAGTTGCTTTTGGTCATGGTGTTTTTAATCATAGCAGTAGCAACCCTAAAACATCAGTGTTTACTGGCATGGACAAGCCTATCAGTTCAAAAGGATGACTGATGCACTGTGTAGCTCACAGATTCCAGATACATAATCATCCTGGCATAAGCCAGTGTTCGCCTCTTTTTGCCCACGTTCCTTCTGTCTTAGTTTTTGTTAGCTTGTTGACTTTTAATGTGGTCCAATTTTGAGTGAAAAGTCTTTGTGACCTTTTCTGTGGCTAAAGAAAGGCAGAAAAAAGGAAGAGGCTTTAGACTTTTTTTGGAAGATGAGCCAGGGAGTGGTCTGGGGCTAGGTGACCATGTATAACCACAACTGCAAGTAAGCAGCTGGGCGACAGTTGTAGAATCTCACTGTAATGGTTTGAAAGAAAATTACCTCCCCCACCTCCATAAGCTCATGCTTTTGCATACTTAGTCCCTAGTTGGCAGAACTGTTTGGGAAGGATTAGGAGGTGTGGCCTTGTTGGAGGAGGTAGGTAACTAAGGGTGGGTTTTGAGATTTCAAAAGTCCACAATAGGTCTAGTCAGACTCCCCCCACTCTTCTCTTCTCTTCTCTTCTCTTCTCTTCTCTTCTCCTCTTTTCTCTTCTTCTCTCTTCTTTTTTTCTCTTCTCTCTCTCTCTCTCTCTCTCTCTCTCTCTCTCTCTCTCTCTCTCTCTCTCTCCTGCCTGTGAATCAGGATATAAAACTTCTCCAGTGCCATGTCTGCCTGAGTGCCATCATGCTCCCCACCATGGTGCTAACAGACTATCTGAAACTGCAAGCAAGCCCTTAATTAAACTCTTTCATTTATACATGGTCTTGGTCATTCTATCTCTTCACAGCAAAGAGAGCAACAACCCACCTTCCACAGGCACCGAACACAGGGAGTCCATGCTTTTAGCTGGTCGGATAGTAGCCTTTTCCACTAAAGAGAAAAAAAAAATCCCTGATGAATGGAAATTAAAAAGCAGCATTCAGAATAGGCTATAAGCATATGAGAAAAACTTCCAGGAAACTTTTTCAAGTAGTGATATATTACATCCTTACAAAATTGCCCCCATGCCACTCTACATATCTCTACTCTCCTAATGGGGACTGGCCTTATGACAAGAGGGCAGAGTCATGTTTTATTAATAATTTACAAATAAAGGTAAACTGTAATTTTGTCAAATGAGAAGTCCTGAATCCAGTTTAATTGTACAAAAAGTGCTCAAGGAACACTTAGCTGTTGGAACAATAGCTTAGAGGTTCAGACTTATGCTCTTCCAAAAGACCTTGGGTTTGATTCCCAGCACCCGTATGACAGCCCATAACTCTGTAAATCCAGTCCCAGGGGATCTGATGCCCTCTTCTGGCCTCCCAGGGCATTGCATGAACATGATGCACAGACATACATTGAGACAAACATCCATACACATAGAGCAATAAAATCATAAAAGTACTTGTTAAAAGTACTCAAGATGAGTGCATGGGGTAGACTCTATGGGATCTGGGAAACCTGTCTTATCTAATAGGTTAGAGAGCGAGACTGCCGGCTGCAACCATAACTAACAGCACCAGGAACCTGGGACATCAAGGGAGAAAGCCTGGGCTGCCACCATCAGCTTTTCCCCAGGGGCTGCGCTCCATGGGATTTGTAGACTGTTTGTCCCTCATGTGATTTCACCCACCAACCTCACCAATGACCAGATCTCTACCCAACCTGAGTCTGTTCGAACACAGACTATGTACCTGGTATGCTTTATGTTGCTACCATAGATGGGGTTTGGGGAAAGTGTAAGTTTGAATGAGTTAAGAACCTAGTTCTTGAGTTTGATCCAAAGATGTCCATAGGTTGGAAGCTTAGCTTGTCAGAACATCAGGGTTGGGAGGAGTTGGGTTCTAGGGGCAGCGGCCTCACAGATAGCTTAATGACATTCTTGATGGTACTGGAGAGCTGTGGGAGAGTCTGCCCTTCTTTCTCCATCCCCCTTATGTGTCTTTCTTCTGTCCCACACTGAAGCATCATAAGGATCTCACCAGATGTCAAGGAGATGCCAGCACGGCCGTGCTCTTAGGCTGCCTGACCTGTAAAACTATGAACTACTATTCTTCATAAGTTACACAGTCTCAGGGACTCTCTTGCAGCAACAGAAGCAGGATTGGAACAGATATTCCTTCCAGGTCAAGGTTGAAAGGAGGAACAAGAGAACTTAGAAGCTGAGAAGTATAAGACTAACACCATTAATGTAACGCTGGATTTAGATCCAAGTTTGAGTCTCACCTCTGCCAGTTTGCGGCTGTGTAGCCTCAGACATGCAGCCTTTCTTAGATTATCTTGCTTCCTTTCTTTCTCTCCTCTCTCTCTCTCTTCCTTCCTTTCTTCCTTCCTTTCATCCCTCTCTCTCTCTTCCTCCCCCCCCCCCCCCCCCCCCATTTGTGTGTGTGCATTTGGTTTTTTGAGACAGGGTTTCTTTGTGTAGCTCTGTAGACCAGGCTGGCCTCGAATTCAGAGATCCGCCTGTCTCTGCCTCCCGAGTGCTGGGAATAAAGGCGTGCGCCACCACCACCCGGCAACTGTGTTATTTTAAAGTGGAATAAATACTCAAGTAAAAACTAGAATACATACTCAAGCAAAAATAGCACATAGTGGGTTGCAGACCAGCTAGGGCTATATAGTGAGGACCTGTCTCACAAAACAAAACAACACATGCTACTTATGACTGTCAGGATCAGCTAGTGCCTACTGCAGGGGAAGAAGGGAGCTTGTTCCACAAGAAGCAGTCAGAGTTGGCATTAACTCAAGCTGGGAAATAATTCATGCTTGTTTTCATTCCTCTTTTAAAAATTCCCCCTTTCTCTCCCCTTAGTCTAAACTCTCCTCTTCTAAGAGGTTTGGACTTAGACTCTTAGCCTCCTGCACTTGGGGATTCTCTGTGACTCACACGGAAGGAGGACGGACCGTGGCTTTACTCAAGTTCAATAAAGGCACCGAGTGCCTCTAACCTCCTCACTCTCAATAGCATGCTAAGAGTCTTACCCTCCGGGAGCTGCTGTTTCTACAGGATCATAAACTGATTTATTATCCTAAAGCTGCCTAGCTGGTGTCCCTCCATCTGAGTATTCTGAGATATGCTTTGCCTTTGTTTCCTATGTCTCTCCATATCTGAACTCTGTTTTTTGTTTGTTTGTTTGTTTGCTTGCTTTGTTTGTTTTGCTTTTTTGTTTGTTTTGTTTTTAGAGACAGAGTTTCTCTGTGTAGCCCGGGCTGTCCTGGAACTCACTCTGTAGACCAGGCTGACCTCGAACTCAGAAATCCGCCTGCCTCTGCCTCCCAAGTGCTGGGACTAAAGGTGTGCACCACCACTGCCCAGCCCATCTCTGGACTCTGGTCTCCATGTGTTGGCCTTAAGGGGCGGGGTTTAAGTAACAGTAACCCCGAGTCGGCTCCCTCTATCCGTTCACTCGCTAAGGCTTTCATCAGAAGCTGTAAGTATCCCAAGGTATCTTCTCTCTGCAGTAGCTAAATGCTTCAGATCTGTTGGCTCAGGCTTATATTTAGAGGGTATTTTTGCCTGAGGTGTTGATCTGGCCTCCTGGAGGTACCCCCACCAGTCCTATTTTTTTAAAAATAGAATCTTATGTAAAGCTACTGTCTTTGAACTCTCTATAAAGCTGAGGGTGACCTTAAGATCCTGACTCTCCTGTCTCCACCTCCTAAGCGCTGAGATCCAGGCATGTGCTACCATGTCATGTTTGTGCAGTGCTTGAGGGCTGAACCTCCGGCCTCCTGCGTACCAGATAAGAACTCTACTGAGCTTTGTCCTCAACTCTCATCTGAGAGTCTTCTGGGAACCTTTGTGGTCTTGGTTCAGTCTGATGACTCCTTCACTCAGAAGGTAAAGCCTCTACCACCATGGCTTCTTCTGATCAGCAGTTTATTTTGATAGAAAACAAACTTAAATTAAAACCAGTGTCTGGAATTTGGTTCAAAGTTTATGCATCTGTGTTCAGTGACTACCTCATTTTTTTCTTACCCCTTCCCTTCTGATCTGGTGAGCTTTCTAAACTTGCTTAAACATGTCTTTCTCTCTGCTGCCAATCCAATAAACTCCCAACACGGTTCATGGTTAATCAATTTTTAAAATGCCCCAAGGGGGCTTGGGAAATGGCTCAATAGGTAAAGTGCTTGCTCTGTGACATGAGAGCCTGAGTTTGGATTCCCAGCATTCACACAAAAGCCAAGACCAGCAGCATGCATCTGCAGTCCTAGTGACAGCGAGGTAGAGACAGATTGTGTGTGTGTGTGTGTGTGTGTGTATGTGTGTATCCATGTGTATGTGTACATGTATGTTCATTGAGGGGTGAGGGTTTCTGGCCATCCAGTCTAGCCACAATTGTTTAGTGAGCACCATGTCTCAAACAGAACAAGGTGAAGCGCAATAGAAAAAGAGACCTGACATTAGCCTCTAACCTCTTCATGTGTGGGCATGTGCACTTGCATATATGTGTGCACACCCAAACATACTCCACATGCACATACAAAAATGTTAAGTGCCTTTCGTCATGGAAACTTTAACATATTGTTTCCATATGCGAGTCCACTGATTTCCCCCTTTCTTATTCACACACATAGAATTATTGCAAACCTATGTGCCACCTGCAAAGACTACACTGGAAGGTTACGTTACAGACTTCCATGGCCTATCTTTGCATACAGATTTTGTTAGAATTGTGCCCACTAGCCACACTTTGAGTTTCTAGAGTTCTGAGCAATGCTGTTTTGCCTAAAGCAGTTACTCTAACAAGAGGCACTCAGGCAACAGCCACTCTGGCAACAGTCACTCAGGCAACAGCCACTCTGGGAACAGTCTCTCTGGCAACAGTCACGGTCACCAGGAGCCACTTGTATTACCATCAGAGGTTATCTCATTTTTACTCCTACATCCCACCACGACTCAGCTGTCTTGGTTTTATTTCCATTCACTAGGTTTTAAGAGCTTAACCAAGAGGCTTTCAACCCTGGCTGGGTGGCAGGTAGAACTGCTTAGGGAGCCCTTGCCACAGACTGAAGAAACTGCTGTGGCTGTGAGCCACTCTCTGGGTAACTCAAGACACACTGCTCTGCTGAGCACGTGACACCCCATGAACACAACCACCATTTGGTCCAGCACCTTGGATTTGAGCCTTTTGAAAAATCACCTGGGGGTAACAGAACCCTTCCTAACTCAAAAGCAAAGCATGTCATTTATTTCACCTTGTTCACCCCCTTTGTTCTCTCTTTTGGGCTTTATCTTTTTATTTCTGGCCTCTTCCATTCTGTACCAAATCCTCTCTTTGATGTGCGTAGGCGGTCTCTCAGCACAGACTAACAGTTTCCTGTCAGGTCCTCACTCTTCCTCCCCCATTGTCCACAGAGAGTCTTGATTTCTTGTTTGTACCACTTTTGCCATCTTTTGACATGCTGTCCTTGACACTTGGGCTAGTTTTGTATTTTATGTTTACCCCACAATTGTCCACAGAGGTCTACCCAGAATCCCTTGTCCTTTGCCCTCTTCATAGAGCTCTTGCACTTCTGAGGTTTAATCTCCATGCCCCGTGCCAATGACTGGTTCAGAACCCATGCCAATCAGCCTGGTCTTGTGATCCAGTGATGGCTACTGAGACCAGGGAAGACGCAATGCAGGACACTGATGAGAACGTCTGATGAGAAAGCTACCAGAAATGACATTTCTTCTGCCTTTGGGGACAGTAATACTCAAAGAGAAAAGCTGCTTTTAATAGCCACAGTCAAGAAAGCCAGACTAAGATGGAGCCGACAGAAAGAGGATGGAACAGTTGAGGCAGGCTCCATGCAATGAAGACACAGCCACTGGGTTAAGTTACACAACGCCTTCTCTGTCACTAAACTGGACTTATTTTTATTTATAGTCAAAATTGCTGTGGCTGCTATCTACCATTCATCCTTCATCATGCAGCGGAGAACACAACTCAGGTGTCTAATATTTCTATTTTCTGTTCCTTGTCATGAAATTATCACTTAGCCTAAAAAAAGAATTTAGAAATATTACTTCTCGCCAGGCAGTGGTGGCACACGCCTTTAATCCCAGCACTTGGGAGGCAGAGGCAGGCGGATTGCTGAGTTCGAGGCCAGCCTGGTCTACAGAGTGAGTTCCAGGACAGCCAGGGCTATACAGAAAAACTCTGTCTCAAAAAACCAAAAAAAAAAAAAAAAGAAAAGAAAAAAAAAGAAATATTACTTCTTATTTATCCCATAGGAATTCAATTCCTCCTAACACTAACTGAACATTTCAAGCATTCATAAATGTTATAGACTTATCTAAACCCACCACCTTGTTTCAACAGTTGCAGTTGTTGGTGTCTTCCTGGGTATTTGATCTGCCTGTTCTATACCTATAACCTCTTCAAATCATTTGAAAGCAAGTCTTGATACTTTGACATTTCATCTTAAATGCTTCAACTGTAGCATACACCTCCTAAGAACAAACACACACTATAAAATTCCTTGAAGTCAGTTAGTAGCCAGTGCATACCCACGGTTTTCTATTTGTCCTCAAAGTTGTCTTAGTGGCTTTTAAAAGACAGACAGACAGACAGACAGACAGACGACAGACAGACAGACGACAGACAGACAGACAGACGACAGAGCAGGATCCAGATGAGATTTGATCCTTGTATTTGTGTGTTCAAGGTCTGCACTAAGTCATCGTGGAAGTTTTTCTTGTTCTTCCTTTCCTGACACAATATTCAGGATGCATCCATTAGATTTGGTATTAGCGTCTCATCTCCTTGATCCCTCTTTTAATCACTGTCTTTTCTCTGCTCAGGAATAAACCCATGGGGAAGAACCCCCATTTAAAATCACAACTTTCAAGGTGAAGGTACAGACCCTCTTTCCAGCTGCATTCCAACAAATAGAAAATAGCTATTTGGGAAAATCCTGGAAATAAGCACTGCAGGAAAGACCTGACAAATGCTGTTGAACTACATGCCACAGGGTGCTTTAACCAAGTAACCTAAACCAACTTCACACACAATCAGGGATTGGCATCCTGTACCGTGGACATGACCCAGAGGCAGGCAGAGCACAGCCTGAAAAACTTCTAAATTTAACCATCAGTAAACCCCAGACACGCCCACATAGAGATATAGTTGTACAAAATGAAGACTGATGTTCTCCAAAGCATCATATTCAGAGAAACTGATGAACGGTTCTCCCTTGGAGAAGACTGAGAATAGATGACAATCAAATCAAATATGAATTCCAGGTTTGGACTTGTACTGCAAAAGGACATTAACGGGATAATTGATTAAGTATGAATTTTCAGATATACAATCAGTAATATTGAAATTATACTTTTGTTTTTGATAACAGGTGTGAAAGATGTTAGTATTAGGCTGTTTTACAGATGGTATAGACATTAAAAACGCTTGTAAGTAAAACATCATCATCATCATCACCATCACCACCATCACCATCATCCTCATCATCTTAAAAAACAAAAACAAAACTCAAGTGAATCTGAAAGTTTCCTTTCTGGCCTGGTTAATTTGCAGTGATCAAATGTAAAACTGGGCTAAGGACACACAAACACACGGCAAGCATGATGCTGATTCTCACCCGACAGCCTCTGGCCTCTCACGAACACACTCCCATTTCTGCTCAGCTTGGATTTTGAATCCGATCCAGAACGCCCCAGGTTAAATATTGATTTCCACTTCTTTGATTTGCTGGAAAGCTTTCTCCTAAAACAACCAAGCCATGCATATACGTTAGTGGAATGGGTCACTTCAAGGTAGTGTTTTATTTTGAGACAGGGTCTTAAGTAGACCAGGCTAGCTTAACTCATGATCATCTCTGCCTGGATATTTCAAGGGTGATTGTAAAATTGAGAAAGAACGTTATGACTGTAGTCTCAGTCATGGAGGGCTCTGATCTTTCTAGAAGTTTCCCCTCTAAAAATCCAAGTTGTACCTGACGTTAGCCTGTCTGGGGATGCCCTGGGTGATCAAACACATTAATGCAAAGGCCCTTTTATTCAGAACCACAGCCAAAGTTTGTCATCTATCAAAGACATGGGTTGGAGGCAAACAGAGACAGAGGTCAGTGGATCGGTCAGAGCTCACAAGCAAACACACAGTTCTGAGATCTGGCAGGACGTCTCTGAAGCATCCCAGTCCTGGCTCTTCAAACACGCTGATTTTTTTTTTAAAGAGAAGTAATCAAGCCAGAAGTAGTGGCTCAGGCCTTTAATTCCAGCACTAGGGAAGCAGAAACAGGTCCATCTCTGAGTTGGAGGCCAGCCTGGCCCACTGAGTGAGTTTTAGAACAGCCAGGGCTGTTTAGAGGGACATGACTCAAACAAACAAACAAAAGACTAAGACCATAGACCCTTCAAATATTTAACACTATAGACCGTTTAAACATTTAAGACCACAGGCCTTCTGCCTGGTGGCCATATGGCCATGTATAAGTAACACAAATAAAAACAGTAAAAGTGTCTGTTTTGGTGCTGCTGAGGAAAACTGTGGCTTGCCAGCTGGCCTCAGTAGTCAGGGTCAGCATGCCTCCCCTGCCCAGCCTTCTACCAGGATGCTTGGCTATGGGGATGGGTATGAGGGTTGGTGGCATAGCATTGGGCTGGCTCATGAGAACTGGGTACCACCAGGGGGCACCATAGGAGCAACGCTTGCTTCAGATTCACCCAGCCAGGCTCTGGCATGAAGTTCAGGTTGAAACCTTGTAACCTGTGGTTCTCACAAGAAGACTTTTCTCTACAGGGCTCTCATTAAACACTGGGTCTCAGCTTTAGCACGCCTTTCCAATCAGTTGGAGACAGGTCTGCATGCTTGTTGGTTTCTATCAGACTTGGCTTGACAGTCTGAGGACTTAGCCTTGGGGTGTATGGTATGGAGTTGCATATGCTAAGCTGGTAACAGTGCTGTGGATGAAAGCAGAGAAAATGCAGGAGATGGTCTCTCTGAAACACCATTTACCCCTGAGAGGGAGTCTTAACCTGTATGGCTTTAGAGAGAGGGACAGTGTGTTTAGTTCTAAGGGGGTACAATCCGTTTTCTCTAGGAAACAGAGTCATGAATGACTCTGATATTTCTAGAACTTTCCCTCTAAAATCCAAGTTACACCTGACTTTAGCCTGTCTGGAAATTCACTGGGTGATCAAACATGTTAATGCAAAGACCCTCTTCTTCAGAACTACAGCCAGGGAACTTTTCCCAGGGAAGTCGAGACATGCCATCCCTATCACAAACCTCCTCTAGTTATCCAGGTTGGCAGACATCTTCCTCTCTAAACAACTTGCTGTCTTGGGGACAGGAGTCAATTACTAAACAGAAAGGATGACGTCATTCAGTGAACCGGTACCTTCACCTACCACCTGCTAAAGGACTAGGCCTCTTGCTTCAGTCACTACCTTCTTCCACGGTGGGGCAAATGGGTGAGTACAGACTAAGCTTGTAGTGGAAGAAGAGATAAAGAAGCTCCCTGTGGGTACTAATGATGATCTGTTTTAGAGGGGAGAAAGAGCGGGGAGACGCTTCAGTCAATAAAGTGCTTGCCACTTAGCACGAAGACCTAAGGTGGATCTGGCATCTCCTGTAAAGAAGCTGAGCAAAGGGGTACATGCGTGTAATCCCAGAGCCTGGAAGACAAAGGATTAGCCCAGGCCAGGATAGACCATGTGTTTTGGTTTTGGTTTTTTTAAAAAGGTAGTTAGCTCCTGAGGAACAAGTTGTCCCCTGGCCTCCTACAAACCTGCACACACATGTCCACATGAACACATACATGTGTGTATACAGACAGACACAGAAAGGTGTGTGTGTGTGTGTGTGTGTGTGTCTGTGTGTGGTCTCTGGCAGGTTGAGAAGAAGTAAGGAATGCCATCCCTGAGTGCTGACAGTAAGGACCCTCTGACAAGAGTGGCCTCATTTGTTGACTTGTATTCTGGCATAGGCTAATTCCATGCCTTTTGCAGTGTTGCGTGGGGGTGGAGGTCATGAGGAAGGAGGCAAGCATTCATCGGCAACTCACATTTGTAAACACCAGGCCTGTTTTGTCTACTCTGCGAAGAAGAGACCCATACCTCACCCGAGTCTGGTAGGAGATATAAGAGCTCACAGTAAGTCTGGGGCAGTGGAGGAAGCCATCCTTATTGAGGATGGTGAAATTGTGGAGACTTGAAGACGTCTGTGTATCCAAACTGGGCTTCGCCCCAGCGCATACTGTCACCACTCATGGACCTGAGACTGGACACCCCCATTCTTTGTCCCCCTTCCCTCCCCCAGTCCTTCAGAGTTCTGTAAGAATGGCAATTACTTGTTGTCCGGTAACTCAAGGACTGTGTGGAAGTGGGTGCCCATGGGAGGGACGATCTCGGGCAGGCTGTTCTCCCGTCTCTCCTTCCGAGCAGGATGGTTTGTCGCCAAGCTTCGGGCCTGAGCCTCCTCCAGGCTTACCAGCTTCATGGGCAGGGACAGGGCCGGCAAGGTCATGCTCTTTGTGATAGTGCGGCTTTCTGTAAACCAAAGAAGAGTTTGGCTTGGGAGCCTATCTGGGCTCTAGGCCTACTCAGGTCTCTCATCTATAGCCCTTCCACTTGAACTCCTTGGCAAGAGGCTGCATGGCGGCTGTGGCCTGGGGAGGCTGGGGCAGAGGCCATACACAGGAAACTGTCAGTTTCCCTGCTCATGTGGATGGAGGACATCGAAGGGCACCAGGAAGTAATTCTGGACTTTCCGTAGAATGACTGTTGATATACGCACTCATTCATTCCACAGAGTTACAACAATGGTTCTTTAATCCTGAAAACTCTGCTAAGGGCTTTGGTCGGATAAGAGTTTGGCTTAACTCAGCTTAGATGAAGTAGAAGGCTGCCCCTCACCCCCTTGACTGAGGAACACAGGCTCTAAGGCCATGAGTGGGTGGAGTCTACTGACCCTAGGCTTCTGTCTCTGGAGGCACAGACCACTAATATACTGCATTATTCCCTTAGAGAGAGGTGGCTCTTTCCTCAGTATGTACTTGTAGTATTTGTATTATAGCCAGATGTCCCTCCTCCATGGTATTCCTTTTAGGACAGCAGTGATGAAGGAATGGTTAATATACAAAGCTCTCCCTTCTCTGCCAAAGGCTCTTTTAACTTGACACAATTCCCCTCTTACTCTACCAAAGGACATTAGGCAACATCTGGAGAAATTTTGTTTTATTTATTTTTTGTTTTGTTTTTGCTTTTGAGATGAGGTCTCATGTAACCTAGTCTGGCTTTGCATTTGCTACATAACCAAGAATGACTTTAAACTCATGATCCTCCTGCATTTACCTCTACAGTGCTATGACTACATGTGTGTGCCACCATGCCTGGCTCTGGAGACATTTTATACTCCAGATTAAAAAAATGTAGTATTTATATATACATGTGTCTGTGTCTCTGTGTGTGGGTGTATGCCATGTGTGTACAGCTGCCCTCAGAGGCCAGAAGAAGGTATCAGGTGCCCCGGAGCTGGATTTACAGGCAGTTGTAGGCTGCTGGAAATCGATTCTGGTCCTTTGGAAGAACAGCAAGTGCTTCTAACCACTGGACAACCTCTATAGCACCCCCTGAGGACATTTTCATTATTACAAATACATGAGAACTACTGGCACCTAGTATCTGGGGCACTTTCTTGATTGGTGATTGATGTGGGAGAGCCCAGCCCATTGTGGATGGTAGCACCCCAAGGTAGTTGGTTTTGCATACAAGAAGACAAGCTGAGATAGCCATGAGGAGCAAGCCAATAAACAACACTCCTCCAGTGGTCTTTACTTCAGTTCTTGCTTTCAGGTTCCGGCCTTGAGTTCCTTCCTCGACTTCCCTTCATGAAGGCTAGTAAACTGTAAGAAGAAATAAACCCTCTCCTCCTCAATCTCCTTGTGGTCATGGTGTTTATCATAGCAGTAGAAGGCAAACTAGGACACTCTCCCTGTGTGCACTCTCATGAACGACATTGACATCAGAGGGGAACTTCTTAGAAGCACACTCTAGACTGTTTAGATCAGAAAGCCCAGGAATGGAGCTCAGTAATTTGTGTGTGCTGGCTGGTTTTGTGTGTCAACTCGACACAAGCTGGAGTTACCACAGAGAAAGGAACCTCCCTTGAGGATATGCCTCCATGAGATCCAGCTGTAAGGCATTTTTTTTTCAATTAGTGATCAAGGGGGGAAGGGCCTATTCCATTGTGGGTGGTGCCATCCCTGGGCTGGTAGTCCTGAGTTCTATAAGAAATCAAGCTGAGCAAGCCAGGGGAAGCAAGCCAATAAGCAGCACCCCTCCAGGTCTTCTGCATCAGCTCCTGCCTCTAAGTTCCTGCCCTGTGTGAGTTTCTGTCTTGACTTTCTTTGGTGATGAACAGCAATGTGGAAGTGTAAGCTGAATAAACCCTTTCCTCCCCAACTTGCTTCTTGGTCTTGATGTTTTGTGCAGGAATAGAAACCCCGACTAAGACACTGTGTTTCCACAAGTCCATCATCAGGTGACCAACAGACACTTACACTGGAAAACTACTTTAAAAAACAAATGGCCACTGAGGTAATTCTGATTGGCCAGATTTCTGATGTTTTATAAAAGAAATTCATAGAAGCTCACCACAAACCAGTTCACTCCCAGGGTTTGCTCTGCCATTCTGAGCCACACTTGTACAAACACACTCATTTTTTTTTTTTTTTTGGTATGCTTCCTGACTGATACAGGGCAGGATAAAGCACTCAGAAAATGATCCCAAAGAGAATGCGTTCCGGATCTACATGTGAATGTGGACACACAGCCACGATGTTCACCATCGACTTCAAGGGGGAAACGTAAGACTCTTCTAAAACCGTAAAGCGCTGGTGAAAACCGGAGTGAAACCGAAGGAGAAAGCAAGTTGCAACATGATAAAGAGCTCCCTAGAAAGGGAACTTTGTCCCAGGCCTACCACATCCCAGGGAGAGGTCATGTGTGCCCCTGATCAGAAACGTGCTAAATCTGCAGGCAGATGCAGTCACACAGATACTTATCTAATCCTGGAGTCTGCACCACAACAGTGACGTATCACAGATATCAACACACAACAGTCGGTACATAATACAACACTCAATCAGAATTAAAACCAAACCTATCATCACTTATTATTTGTTTGACACAGTGTCTCATGTAGCAGTGCCGGCTGGCCTTAGACTCTCTGTGTAGCCAAGCCAGACCTGGGATGCCTACTTTCTCTGCTTTCTGTTTCCATATTCCCTCATTTGGGGGTTCTATGGTTAGAGCAGTAAGGGAAATTAAGTTTGCAGGGAATGTGCCAGGGGGTGGGGAGCCATTACCATCCTGCTGCAGAGCCCCTGGAGCGGCACCGTTGAAGATTTGATCAGCATGATTCAATATGAACTCAATCACCACCTGCTGGACCCGGACCGCTAAAAACGCCGCATCTCCATTGCAAATAGTGGCTTCGATTTTTTTACTCCTGCATGGAAGAAACATTCAGAGTGAGTCTGTCTCCCAACAGAGGTGGTGGGGGATGGTCCATGAGCCTTTTGCACAGGTCACAGGCTTTAACTTTTCATGACCAGAGAGAATTTCCCAATGGTAGTGAAGCCACACCCACCGAATAGACTGTATCACTGTTACGTGGTCTGTGTTACAGGACTGTATAACACTGCCCATCAGTGTACAGAATTGACTTCGTTTTACTTCATGGGATTCCCTCCCGTCTCTACCCAGTTGTCCCATGGGTCAAGTCATTGCTTGTGATTTCCATGAAGCAGCTGATTCAAGTTATAGCCATCTGTGACCTCACCACAGCCAAGGAAAGCCAATGAACTTCAGAGCCCGAAAAAGCCTTTTCAAGAAGTGGTAACATACAGATCCATACTTTTAGCCACACTGGGATAACAGCCAACAAACGCCTTTGGAACCAGAGTTTCCAAGCAAGCAGGCCAAGAGCTTAAGACCTTACTGGAAGTTTCAAGCTATATATGCTATAAAAAGATCACTCAGCCATGTCTTCCAGTGCTTTATCTCTGAAGCACCCAGACTTTGCTTCTACATGTGGGCTGCTCTGAGCCCACGGGGTGGTCATTACCTGAGGAGGTTTGGGGCCCACACCAGGGCCAGGTTCCTGGCATGCATGTTGGTCTTGCTGCTGAATGAGGCGATGTGGGCCAGGTGTCGGATCAGGTATTCCAAGGTCCTGAAAGAGTTCATTTGTTTGATTGATTTTTGGCAAAGAAAGAAATGTCAGCAGCTACCTGGAGGTCATACTCAAGTTAGGATTAAGGAATCTCTGAACTATGAACTTCGAAAGAACACTGGGGGTAGGTCAAGATTGATGAAGGTAGCTTTCTTGACTCCAGGGACACTGACTCAGGATGAGGACAGATGTCAGTGTTGTCAGATGTCCGTTGAAACTGCAGGTCCAGGGACAGAAATAGAGTTTCTTTTCCACCCTGGGAAAATTCACTTCCCAAGATCCTCAAATAGGTTCTCATCTCGATTCTTAGAAAATAGTCGTCTAGTACAGGTTAACTTGGTTCTTGTCAGCAGACCCATTTCACAGACAAACATTTGTTGACTTCAGGGAGTTCTTTATAATACCACATCAAATTCTGCCAACCCTGGGAAAGTTAGTACCATTTACGATAATCTGTGCGGACAGAAAGGATGGGGTGATGCCGGGGGTAATCTTACAGAGCCGGTAGAGATAACAGGTGCTCATGACTCAGTTACCCCCAGCTTTAAGGTTTGGAAACCTGGGTTTCCAGTGGTTTAGAATTTGTAGAATAATTCAGGTTATGAACCAAGGCTGTCACTATGAGGCTGGCTTTTTTATGACTGTGATGACTTTCTTTGTTACTCTGATGAGTATCCTGCAAGTGGAAGCAGGTTGTTCTTGGCTACCAACATTCCTGATTGGGGATCACTACCCACTCATCCTGATAACACTGACTGTTCATTAATTTCCAAACGTCTCCAGCAAAGCCCCATCCATTTGCTTCAGTTGTCACACATCTCCGCCTCCTGGATGTTTTGCCACACGGAGTCTGAGTGTTTCTTTCTTACCTATAATGGGGTGGGGGGAGCTCCTGGATAACATTCTGGATTCGGGCCAGCTGGCCTTCTTCCGGGCAATGAGACACTGCTTCCTGTGGAGAAGAACACAAAGTACCCAGTGAGCATCCAGGAGCCAGGACCCTTCCTGCATGTACTGGTTTTACTTAGGACTCAGATCGTCCAGCCTTACAACTGCACCTGCAGATCCTGTCGCAGAAGCACTGTTGTCTGTGTCAACAGCAAGCCAAATGCACTTTCTGAGTTTCAGAGTCAAGTGTCTTCACCCTGTACACACACAGGAGTGAGTGGGTCTCTGTGTGCTCTCAGATGTTGTTTGGTGTCTGAGAAAGAATGTACAGGATCGAAAGGTGTCCTGCATGGCAGAGAGTCATAGACGCTCAGATTCAGAGAGACAGCCCAAGACGGCGATATCATAGGGACACACATCTACTCAGCCCCTTTGGGTGTGAACAGCTACATACTTGTCACCTAGCCTATTCCATGACTCCCAGTCCTCAGATGCTACCTGTTTTGACTGCCAAGAAGCAGAGCAGACGTGTCTTTCTTATCAGGGACAAGAGTTTTGTCCCCAGGATCTGGTGGCCTTGCCCTGATTTGCTATCTGCTTATATCCTGTGTGGGCATCTTGTTCCCGTCAGTCCGGGACCTTGCAGGGGAGGCAGGAACACTATGAGGACAATGTGATGACAGGCTGGCCCATGTCCATGTCTCGCTAGCCCTAGGCTGCCGCGTGACACCAACATCCCTGACAATTCTTCAATTCCAGCCCTGTCTCCTATCTTGAGAATATATCCTGCTTGTGTGTGATGATTAAAATTGACAGTCAACTTGATGGGATTCTAGAACCACTGAAGAAACATGTCTTTTGGCACGCCTGTGAATAACTATGTAGATTAGGTTAACTGAAGTGAGGAGATGCACCCTAAATATGGACAGCGCCATTCTATGTACCGAATAAGAAAGGAGTAATTGAGCCAAGCACAATCATTCTGTTTCCTGACTTAGTACAGTGTGGTGAGCTGTCTCCTGCTCTTGCATCCACTTTAATAATCACTGCTGGCTGCAATTTAAGCAAAAATCAAGATTCAAATCTGAGGGCTTTGCACACCACTCACCCGCATTTATCTGTTAGCTGTCATTTCTGGATTGTCCTTCCATTGTGGATTACTGGGTGTGGCTCAGCGGTAAAGAACGTTGGCTTAGCGTGCACAAGGCCCTGGGCTGGATTGCCAGCCCAATGAAACAAATAATCAGAGTTCCTTGTAATGCACTGCACAGTTTGGTAGTGATTGTATCTTATTAGAAGGGCAAAGCAAGAAGGGAGTGAATTCAAGGCCTGTCTGGGCTACAGAGTGGATTTATATCAAGATCCTGTTTCAAACGCCATTATATTTGCTATTATTCCTTGTGAGTGAGTGTATTTATACATGATATGTATGTGAAGGTTGAGAACAGCTTGCAGAAAGTGGCTCTCTCTTTCCATGACGCAGATCCCAGGGATCAAACTCAGGTCGCTGAGCTCGGCTGCAAGCGTCTTTAACCACCAAGCCATCTTACTGTCCTCTGTCTTAAAGCTTAAAAGGGACTGTGGCCCTAGCTCAGTGACAAAGCACTTGCTTGCCACATAAGAGGCCTTGGATCTAGTCTCCGGCACCATGAAACAAGAAAAAGCTCAACAACGTCAATTAACACTCGTGGGTGTAACACTCGTGGGTGTACTCTCAGCAATGATAGCTTTAGACACTACTCACTGAAAGCAGAAGCCAATCAACTTTGGGGGACACTCACTGTCTGCTGTCCGCTTTTCTCAACTACATCTGCTGCCTATGTTCTGACTTAAGAGAATTCTAAGGTCCTGCCTGGGCCTCCCGACCCCTCTCCCCCCCCTGCCTGGGTCTCCCGACCCCTCCCCCTGCTCCCAAACCACTCCTGTGCTGGACAATGGATGTGTCCACAAGCTCCAGATCTATCATTTACTTACTCGCTTTTAAATTGAAATTTAAAGTAAGCATATGAAGTGACAGGTTTCATTATGGCAGTTTGATTCTGTGTACATGTGAGTACCAGTCCGAGAAGTAGGTCTCTTGTCTTCCTGTGTGTGTTTTCCCTTTGAAACAGGGTCTCTCACTGTGCCCGGAGCTTGACAGTTAGCCATAGAGATCCTTATGTCTCCTGCATCGTGGGTGTCTGTGATGTCATCCAGTTTTTATGTGGGCGATGAGAACCAGCATGCAGGTTTGTGGCTTTTGCATCACGTGCTCTTACCCACTGAACCATCTCCCCAGCTCTCATATCTCACCCCTTTTCAATTGAAGTAAAACATACCTATGTATGTATGTATGTATGTATGTATGTATGTATGTATGTATCTATCTATCTATCTATCTATCTATCCATCTATCTCTCTATCTATCAATCATCTATGTATATGTCTAGCTAATATATATAGGTCTACTATTTTAAAATGGCAGTCAGATATCTCAATGTGGGAAACTTTGGTTACCTTTTGTTAAGAAGAGGGATTTGTGTGTTGGGGTACCACAGCCTCAGCCCCTACTCTTCTGGTGGGTGTGCCTGCAGTGAACAGAGCAAGCATCAGCACCTGCTGTCTTCTCTGCCTTTTGAGATATATAAGATCGAGGGGCAGGGGCCCGTGAGGCCTCTATGAAGGAGCCCCCACACCTACCTTCTCTTTCCCATTATTTAGGAAACAGAATTGCAGGGACCACACTCCTAGCTTCAGGGAGAAGTTCACAGGGGAGGGAAAGGTGAGGCCTCCAGGCAGCCAGGGCTGCAGAATATAACATGGGTCCTCATGGTTTGGTTCCATCATGCAATGAACACGGGGAAGGTTCAGGGGGGTACAGGGGTCCCTGCATAGCCAGAACCAAGTCTGCAGAGCTTTGTGCCGATCCCCTCTCTATAAAAGGTGTCTAGATCTGAACTCCAGGGCATTTGCCAATAACAACAATAGAAAACTGAAAGATGAATTTGGGGAATAAGAGTGCAGGTGGAGATAGCAGCCCTCATGGAAAGTTCCTTTAATATTTTAGGAAGCAGCTTAGTCATTGTCATTCTCTGAAGCCGAGGGGCAGGTTAACCCCTGATGCTTACTGAACCCAGTGAGAATTGCCTTTTCTTTCCTTAGTCTCTTCCCACTGCATCCCCATCCTACCCAGAAACTCACTTTCTTTTTCCTCTCAATTACTTGATCAGACAGGGTCTTTCCATGTAACCCAGGCTGGCCCTGAACTCACAATCTTCCTGCCTCAACCCTTAAGCTGGTATTATGGAAGGGTTACACCAAGCTTGACTTAAATCCTCATTTTTCTCCAGGAGGAGTCTGGTCACAGCAAATGTTCTCTAGTTAAGACAGCAGATCCTATCATTGGGCAGCTTGGGGAGAAGGGTTGAAATCTGACTCACCCTAATGTATGTGTGTGTGTAGGAACTGGAAGCGAACTCGGGCCGACTTGGTTGTTTCAGTCTCAAAGATCTGGGATGAACCTACCACTACTTGCTTTCCATCACTGAGCAGACGATCACCTTCCTGACCTCTGAGGATCCGGGCAAAAGGCAGGGTTCTTATCCTGGTGCCAAGTCCTTGTTCTAGATTTCTGTTTTTTTTTTTTTTTTTTTTTCCAGAAACCACCCCTTCTCTACAGTTCAGGCCCTCCTGCCCAGATAGCCACCATCACTACAGTGACCCAACATAAATGAGCCAGAGGGCTTTTTTTTCCAACTGTACCGTGTGTGTGTGTGTGTGTGTGTGTGTGTGTGTGTGTGTGTGTGTTTTCATGTGTGCAAGCCAGAGGTCAAGGAGTTTTGTCCTTCTGGTACATGGGTGCGTCTTGGGCAGCAATTCTCAACCTGTGGATCTCAACCCCTTTGGGGGTTGATGACCCTTTCGCAGGGGTCACATATCCGATATCTACATTATGATTCCTAACAGTAGCAAAATTACAGTTATGGCATAGCAACAAAATAATTTTATGGCTGGAAATCACCACAACATGAGGGACTGTATCAGAGAGTTGTAGCATCAAGAAGGCTGAGAGTCACTGGCTCTTAGGGATAGAAGTCAAGTCGTCAGGATCAATACCAAGTGCCTTTACCTGCTGAGCCAAGGCCTCCTGGCTACAATCTTAAGCATAATCAATTACTTAAAACTCGTTATAAACCATTTTTATTAAATTATTTAACACCATAGCTAGGTTTAAAAAAATAATGATCAGAAATAATCAAAAGTTAAATTTCCTTGGAACTACAGATCCTCAGTTGCTGGGGGATGATTACTGTGTGGCTTCTAGAGAGTCTTTGTGGGTGCATTCTTGTTACATCTATGGGTGACCACACCCTCCTGTGAACCCTCTATCCCATCTCCCATCATTGCTGCCATGCTTGTCCCACACCAGGCACTGGTCTCTACAGGTCCTCTCAAGCTCAGCCTCTCCCCCACCCCCAGGCGGGGCCTCTGGACCTGCTGTTTCTTGTCACTCACTTCAGCAGATACTGTTATAATCTGTTCCCTCGCTTTATGCCTATCTGTTCAGATTCTGCCTCGTGGAGAGAATTCCATGACCTTAAAATAGCAGTTAGTGTCCATCCGTATCTCCCCAGCCCTGAGCTATTTTTCTTCAGAGTGTTTATTGACAGCATTCATGAGACATCAGTATATCACAAGGGTTTACCCCTACCCCGTCTCCCTCTCGTTTAAGCATCTGTCTTGTTCACCATTAAATCTCCAGGCCCTGGAACTATGCCTTCCAGCTCCCCGTGGTAAGCCCTAACAACTGGTGAATGAAATAAACAAATGAGAGAGTAAATATTGTGCTTTATGCTTGAAAATGGCAGACAGCTGCATGTGGGCCACACCTTGAGGACACTGACACCCTAGGAGCACTCTCCATTGTGGTGGACACTGTCTTGCTGGGGTCTACTCCTCAACCTTGGATCCCCAACAGGGTGGCCCATCAGTTTGATTTCTCCACAATTAAAGGTTGTTCTGGACATGGGTCTCTCTTCTTTCATTCTTTTAAAAAAGCTATCTTAAAAGACTCATTTTTTATTT